ATAACTTCCCTTTTCTTTCCCAAATGTCTTTTTTTTTCACCAAGAATAATGAATCAGAGCAAAGCCAGATGGCACCAGCAGGAGCACAACAAGGAACCCAGGTAAGAACAAATTTTGTGGGGGCTCCTCCTGAATGAAAAACTGAATCTTAAGTCACTGACCCCCCAAAGATTTCCAAACTCCCCTAGGAAGGCTTCATTTGACATCTCACCAACACAACCCTGCATTAATACTGTGAGCCAGCAAAGCACTTCCACTAACTTTAACTGCCTCCAACCCTTGGAGGTGGGGCTAGAAGTACTTAAGTATCCTGGAAAGCAGAGGCCTAAGACCATACAACAAATTAATTCATTAAAGAGGTGGGGTTTTTTTAAAATCTTATTTCCTTTCACCAGAAAGGAGAGATGGTGCCTGGGCAGGTCAGAAGTGTGAGTCTCTTGTCAAGCTCCCCAGGAAGCCTGGGGACTTCGGACCTTACCTGACAGGGCGAGGGCTTCACCAGACCTTATGCTTGGCTCAATCGGGATGCCAGGAGTCTGGGACTCAGGAGGGGCACAAGCATAAAAGGTTCCTGTCACCTGACAACCTGTTTTCACAAACAAAAGTCAGTGACAGCGGCCTAAATCCTAAAGCCTAAATCCTAAATCCTAAAGAAAATCTTGGGCAGAGACCACAGCAATGCAAAACTGAGTTTTCCAGCCCCAACAGTAACTCTCTTCCCCCTTCTTAAAAAGGTCCTGTTTCTCAATTTTTCCAGGTATGCCAACTCTACCAATCACTCCAGATGTTACTTGGACTCAAATCTTTATTTGAGTCTGCATGAAATACTCCCTTAGCATTTCAGTATTCCTTCCTAGTCCTTTTCCTTACCTGACATGTTATTCTATTACAGAAATAATTTACATTTTTAACTAGAACACAGTCCTCTTAAAAGTCACCTGCATAAAACAATCCATTTGTATAAGAAATTTTACTATCACAGGTGTAACAATAATGCGATTAATACTGTTTAAATGTAGGTAAAGAAGAATGTGCAGCAGGAGATTATTAGGGTTTTATTACCAGGACTACTATTAGACTGTTCCAAGAGATGCCTTTCAGTAAGCGGATTACAACATAGGCAATGGATGCTTTTCCTCTGTTTCTTAATGTCAGTTAAAGTCTTTGGAGGACAATGCAAGTGACTTGCAGGCAAGTGCACACTACCTTTCCCAATGGCAGAACCCATCACAATTGAGCTGGAGCACTAAAAAACACCCACATCCCTTGACACATTCTAGAGCCCAATGAGAAGCCCAACACCAGCCACTAACAACTGCCTCCAAATTCAGCAAAGCATTCAAACTGCTGCAGAGGATGTACTTCAGGGCAGAGTTCATTCAGCTTACTACCTTGATTTTTTTATTGGCAAATAGCTCAACTGAAAGCAAAGGATTCTGCTTAATAATTCCAATATACTGCCAACAAAAGTTGCAGTGCACTGAGCATTTAATTTTGAGCAGACTCGAAAGATTTCTCTGCACTATAACCTCTAGAGAGCTGTCCTCTGAAAATGTAGCATCTTTTCTCACTTCCCATCCTTTCCTGCCCTTCTGAACCAGCTGATTCTCCTCACAAAGCAAAGGCCTGCATCCTCAGGTGAGTTACCCTGCAAGGGTCTACAGCACACAGTTCCCTTTCTCTCACGCTTCATTCCCTGCAGGCTTCAGCATTGCCAATTTTCACAATTCAGGCTTTTTCCTAAGGATGAAGAGCTTGGAAAGCAATGATTATGTCAGGCTTTGGTACTGCGAGATCTTCAGGGAAGGGAATGTCCCTTTATTCTGTTTCTGCAGTACCAGCCCCAAGGGAGTCTCAATCCATGACAAGTTGCCCACTGTTGTAGCACTAAAATAAAGTAATAATTCAGCTTTCCTCTTGGGAGAATAATGCCAGTCGAACCCACAAGGCTGGAGGGAAACCCTCACTGATGTGTGCCCTCAAAAAGTTCAAAATCAGAAAGACAAGCTAAAGAACATATGTTCCCATTTGGGATTTGGTGGGGGGAGGTTGGTTGCCTTCTTTATGGCTCAGGGCTTTTGAGACAGCTGAGGTCTTTTGGGGGATGACTTCTATCAGTTCAGAGGACCACACAGCCCACACACCACACATATGGTGGCAGTGAATGCAAGTGCCAAGACAAAAGCTCTTGCCATGGACCTGCAGCTTCTTTTGAAGGGAACCCAGCACTCCTCCCTGTCCACTTATGTTAATTCCAATTAAAGCCACAAATAATAAACCTGAAATCTGAGGTTCCTCTAGGTGACCAACCTAGAAGAACCTCAAGAAGAACCTTAGGCAAGCAGCCGTAAAAGGGGAGTGTCTTACCATTTTCACAGCCAGGCCCTTGCCAGTGATGACTGCGAGCTGCGAAGGGGACACTGGCACACTGGTAGGGAATGTCAGGATGTGGCTGCTCCGGGGCAAACTCCCTCCAGTTCCGTTCATGGGGCACCATGTAGTTCGGTACCTATTCAATGAGATACTCTTTTACTAGGCAGCTGTCAAAACTAATGCTAGGCATTGCATCAGCTCTCACATCTCAGCTCCTTGATTTTTTCTGCCAAAGTCCATGGAGGTCTAAGCTTTGCCCAGGCTCCACAAATGGCACTTTGCCACCACCACCAATGAGGCTTTCAAATTAGTTTCTCACCACTGGTGTAAATAATAAGCGGAGTGGAATAACAAAAGGCAGTCAAAGCACTGCTGGTAAATGTCTGCTTGGAAGAGCGAGGCTTCATTGGGTGCTTACATTCTGGCATCAACAGAATGGCAGTGCACCAGTATCTATCGTCCAAGAGAAAAGAGCTATTACTCTGGGATAAACAACACCAAGGGAAATTGGTTGCCCTGTGGCCTCATCTGACATTAGAAAAGTTGCTTCTCAGTTTCTCAGTTTTCATAATAAAGTTTCTTCACAGAGAAAACTTGCTCTCCCCCATCAGCAAGGACAGACGTAACACATAGCACAGAAATTATGTTGCTCAATGTAGAAGCACCAAGAGAAATGCTTAACTAATGCCATACCTGGGATGGTAGTGCAGTGTAAGGAGATGTTATTGGAAAGGGATGGTTCATCATTAATGGTTGCTCCTCCATGCTGATCTGTTTTGCACCTATGTTCAACACAGGGATGAAAATAAATTATGTCAACCACATCTTAAGGAAATCTGAAATCGGCACATTGAAGACAAATCCATATGACCTGACACTGAATAAACAAGAGGACCAAAACGCCTTCCAGTGCCTGTTTGGGACTGGATTCCCAGCCCCTCCTTGCAGGCAGCTCCAGAAGGCAGTCCATCCTGCTGGTCTCTCCACTGCTCCACAGCACAGTGGTGCCCAGCCATACCTAGCATGTAATGATGCCAAGCCTTTGCCTCCCACAAGCCCTGCCTGGCACCAGGGACTTCTCAGAGAACAGGCACTGCTGCTGCCTCTGCCCTGGAGGCTGCAGGCTAGGCAACCCTCACTCACAGTTCTTCCCCCCATAGCAGTTACCTACTGCCTGCCTCAAAATGCTCTTCCCTGTATTCAGAACCTACATCCAGCAAGCAATTTTTTTTTTGCCTGTCCCTTATGCTGCCTGCTTGGCTCTCACTACACAGAACTGGCAGGGAGGCTCCAGCTAAAAGAGCAATTCCTCCAGTGACGGGCTGGGCGCCTGTCTGCATGTTCTTGCAAGGGCTCCTTCTCAATGCTCCAACTCAAATGCCAGCAGTCCTCCCACAGACGCAGCCTCTAAAGCCATCAGAACAAGCTGCACTTGAGCCCTGCATTCTGGCTCCTTAAAAGACTTAAAAAGGCTGCAGGGCCATTCCAGAAGGGCATGCTTCAGTCCTTGTATGCTTACAATGAGACATATTAACACTCTGTTACACAGGGAATTGGACATGCTTTACCTTTTTTAGCTCCTTCTGGCACTATTCTGTACACTTTATAGGGATCTGAGATGTCCAGCTGGCTTCTCTCCACAAGTTCTTCAAAGTCATTGCTCTTGTTCAAAGCACACCTTAATCTTGTCTTCCAGGTAGGGGGATCTGGTTTATCAATGCCCTCTCTGAACTTTCCTTTAAAAAGAGCCCAAGCCTGGAAACATTTCAGATAATCAAAAGAACAAGAAACAGAAGAAAAGGAAAAAAAAAAGAAAGAAAAAGAATCAACTACAAGGTATAATGCTTGAAACAGCATATATGTGTGTGCTTATCTGTGCATGAATTTACTCCCTACAGGTTTAGGCTAAGAAAAAAAGCAGCATGGTAAGGTACGAAAAACAGTTCAGCAAGCACGAGAAAGGGAAGAAAATAGTCCAAGATGAATGTGGAAATAGATATGCTGCAATCCCATAAGCATTTAGCTCTACACGGAGAAGCGCGACAGGCTGGGCTGCCCCGCAAACACAGGGAACACCAGGGCACAGCCAGGGCCACCAGTCACACAGCTGGCGGCAGCAGTCAGCCAGCAGAACCACCCTGCAGGGGCGGGTGGCAAGGACACGATGGTGAGGGGCATCACAGAGCCTCTGGGCATCCCTCCTGCCTTGCCTATGTCCCACGGTCCCAGCCCCAGGCTGAGGCTTACCTTGAAGAGGGCAGCATCCTCCTCCCGGTTGTAGTCCTGCTTGCCAGCATGCTTCCAGGGGATGCGGAAGATGCTCTTCTCATCGTTTTCCCACACCAGTCCTGGGTACTTGCCACTGTCTATCTGGTCGATCAGCCACTGGCGGAGTTTCCCGTTGCCACAGCTCACTGAGTTCATCCCGCACTCACCCGGCTCCAAGTTCATGCCACTTGTGTCAGAGGTTGGGTGGGGGATTTTGGGGTGCCCCACCAAGCTGACCTCTCCACACACGTCCAAGCACTGGTTCTGGGGGGCTGCAGAGGAGGGGGAAATGGGAAGGATGGGGGGAGAGGAAAACCCACAGGTGAAGCGCTGGGCAAAGTCCCCACCAGTGGTCCCCAGTCCCTGATGCCACACATACCACACCAAATGCACAGCAGTGTGCAGAGGGCCCCTGGAGGGCCCGGGAAACACGGTACAGAGCCTCAGGAAACTGGGGACAGCCCCTCACAGCCCTCCCCAGGCATTACTCATGCTGCAGACCTTGACAGACTTCCCCCCCGTCCCGACACTGCTTTGCATCGGTGGTTAAAATTTTCATTGCCAGTGACTTAAGGCACAAACCCCCTGTCCTGTTCAGAGTTCGGCTGGGGTTTTACTTTTCAAGCAGAGGAGAGAAAAATTGCATAAAATGTGTTCCTATATGCCATTGCACATATGCGATATTAGACACACGCACACATCTTGGAGGGCTTCACATGTAGTTAAAACTTACATGGCATCTATCTATAACATCAAAGTAGTTTTCACAAGCTCACTTCAGGAAGATACATAATATCCTATACATATCTACCCCTCCAACTGCTCCCAGCACACATACATAGTAACATTCAAATTCATACATTGAATATACCTAAAAGTGGCAAGACAGCAACCCACAGAGCCTGGCATAAGGGCACTGTCCCCAGGGACGTGGGAGCTTGCAGCCCACCACACAGAGCCCTAGCTGCACGCAGAGGTGTACAAAAGCACAGGGAGCGGTGGCGGCTCCGCAGCGATAGGCACTGGCTAGAAAGGTGTTAATGTCAGGACACCGACACCAGTGATGGGGACCTGGCACCAGGTTTGGCTCATCGATCTGAAAAACTGCTTGAGTGCCTGAAAGCTTAGATTGGTGGGGTATCCCCACCACCACCTTACATCTAACAAAAAAAGTGATTCCTCACCCAGGAATCTTCGCCTCTATGCACGAGGAGCCTCTCAGAGTCCCTTGCCAGACAGGTGCACACTGCCGTGGGCAGATGGGCAGCTCCGCTCCGCATCCCTTACAGCCCTCCCGGACCCCAAACCCAGTGCCCTCCCAG